ATATGTTCAAAAGAAAAGTAAAATACAATAAAAATTCAAAACAAATTAAAACACTTAAAAATTAATTAAAAATAAAATTTAAGACACCAACTCAAACAACAATTATCGTGAATGCTTCCTCAGCCTTGAAATAACAAACACTTATTTCCATTGTGGTCCAAAAATTAAGAGTTCTATGGGGGAGAATAGAGACACAACAAGTTGTTAACAATCAAACAATTAATCACCAGATGTTTGCGACATCCTGTGCTTTAATGATTGCCTATCCAAACACATGACGCGTCCAGCTGTACAGCCTCCAACTCATCCCCAGCCAAGGAGGCGGGGTCTGTCTTTTTCAAAGCGACGTCGCTACGTCTGTTGTGATTGGTCAACTCAGATTGTCGATGATCTTATTGGCTACCCACAAAGCGGGGGTTGAACTCTGCGGGAGCCCAGAAGTCAGCTAGAGAAGCTGAAGAGCAGTCGATCTGCWGCGGTGTGTGATGAAACACAGCTCTCCTGAAGTGTAGGGCTCACCTTCCTTGCCTATTATTATTATTTTAAATTAAAACAGCCCACATATAATTTATCCTCGGGTGTATTTACTAAGCGTGACAGATTAGAGGAAAGCCAAAGAGCGAGGATGTTGGTCCCCGCAGGAAGATAATGAAGAGGCTGCGCGTGTTTTTGCTGTGCCTCACTGTAGCTGTCCTGTTCTGGTAAGTTTGTCCTGACACTTTTCTTTCACCAGAACAACGACATGCCTGACGGACAGGAATATGATCAGCTCGGTTAGGTCCAGCAGGCTGCACGGAGCTTCATTCGGCCTCATTTTGGTGCCCTGTCAGTCCGACACCAGGCGCTTTGGATCAGGCTGAAGCTACATGTTAGCTAAAAATGATCTTGTTGTACAACGTGTGGCGTTCAATACATCTGTAAGTTAGAGGAAGAGCCTTGAATTATTGATGTAGGTGTTTGTTATCTTAACTGAATGATAACGTTTTTAGTTTCAATGGTTTTATTGGGTTAGGGGTGAAGCCAGCTGTTAGCATCTTAGCTAGTTAAATGGTAGCATATGTTAGCCTGGAGGGTATTTATCAAAAATAAATACATATAGAGATCATTAAATGTGTCTATGCACAGTTCTCACCTTAAAGCTTCACTCATTCACACATGGAAATACTTTATATGGAAATAATTAATAATAATGTATCAAAACTATCATCATTAATAACGTTTATTACACCCTTATTAACATAGTAGTAAAACCTGTTTTTGATTTGAGGGGAATATGCTATTTTTAACTTAATGTAATAAATTATCCAAACAWTTAATTGGTTGAAATATAATTTATTAACTGATGAGAAAACTTCATACATTTACATTATGAAGTTAAACAGGGGTTTATTGAGCAGGTGAGTTTAATTAATTAATAAATGATTGATTGTTATTGTTTGAAGCTGTCAGAGGTCTTATTGTCTTAATCTCAGCAGCAGGTAAAAATGTCCAGGGATTGTGGGATTGCAAAGTTGTATGGTAACTAAGTACAAATACTTCTTTATTGTACTTAAGTATAATTTTTGGGTATCTGTACTTTAATTGAGTATTTATTTTTCAGCCTACTTTTTACCCTAACTCCTTACATTTTTTAAAAAGACCAGAAGTTGAAAGTATTTCATTTCTGCTTGTTTTCATTGCAGCTTGTTATTGTAAAAAATAAAAACTATCCATATAAACTGAGCCTCCTAGATAG